GTGTATATGGATACAGTCTGTCCAGCAATATAACAAGCAGAAGAGCGTCCAACACACGCCTGTCGAAAACAAAAGAGAGATGGATGCAGCTCCTGCAGTCAGCACATTACACACACAGGGCTCAAAGGCTTGGAACGGCTGTAACACGGATCAAGAGAAAGAGAGAGAATATGGAGTTGAAAGACAGAGATTATATAGAAACTGAAGGAGAAAACAATAGAAATATAGTATCACTATCAGAACCCTTTAAGTATCCCTGGGGAAATTGTGTTTTGTGACAGTTGCTACATTTTAGAATGATTTGAAATAAATGGTACATTAGAAAATAGAATACAAATATTGAGATCAACATAATAAGTTAATGAAGCATAAAATAAAATAAAAAGTGTGTGTTTGTGTGTGCGTGTGTGCGTGTGCGTGTGTGTGTGTGTGTCAAACTGCTGATGGCAGTGACTGTCCTGTTCCCCACAATGGTGCTGGAAAACAAAACAGGCAGCCCAGTCAGCGCTTCTTGCCCACAGATTAGCAGCGTGACCTTTGACCCCCGGTACTCCAAAGAGCTCACAGCCAATGAGCTGTCAGAATCGGGCCTCTGTAGACTCGTCCTGGTTGTGAATGTATATATATCTCCCCACCGACCTCGCCTGTGACCATCAATTTACTCCAAGGTCGGTCCGTTGAACCTGCAATTGTAACTGTAAGTTTTCACTCTAACGTTTTCTAACTTTTAAATAACTGGTGGTATTTTGTTCGCGAGTGAGTAGCATATTGGGGTTTCCTGACTACCCACACTTAACTTTGACTTATTAGATAGTATATTGGCATAAAACGCAACAGGGTATGATTTTATTGTGTAGTGTTGCTTTGATTGCTTGGTTCAGTTGGTCATCCTAAGCTTAAATGGATGAGAAAGACAAGGGGCTGCTTTCCTTATTTCTGAAATAAAAATGTGATTATGGCAGGTTTGACGTTCCATACAGAGGAAACACCGCTTTAAAAGGGAAGAATCAGATTAAACTATGCTGCTTACAAAATGGATTTTGGGATGGATTTGAGTAAGCTAATCATTTAAACAAGTTCATTTATACTTAAAAACGATATGGTTTTACAAGTGTTGCAAATCTGCTTACTTTTTCTCCATTTTGCTTCTCATATTTAAATGGATTGAAATGCCTCAAGGGTTAATGTTTAAATATAGTATAGACGATAAAGAAATATATATATTTATTATTAGAAATGTTTTACCCTTAAAGAGCAACTTAAAACACAATTTGTTTTACTTGAAGTGATAGTTACTCTGGAGTCTGTCAGTGCACCATGACATCATAGTTGGGTGGGGTTACAGGTGCTTATTCAGCTACACCCGTCAGTAATTCTGATTAGGGTTAGGGGTGAAACAGTCTCTCAACCACAGAGGGCAGTCAAACGCTGCTTTTCAGCCTGGTGAACCTTCACCAGAAAGAACAGTCAGCCAGTTCTTGAGGGCATAAAATAATAGCCAGTTAACAGTAAAGCTTTTACACAATAACGGCAAATGTAGAGATCTATTTTTTTCTGATGTTATGTGAATGTTAACAGAAGAGATACTGTGTTGACATTCGCTGTTCAAGAAACAAAGTGTTCTTTTTTTAATCCCTGAGGCGAAAATAGTGGATGAATGAATAATGGCTTGGGCATCTAAAATTATTCCAGCAGTTCAGAAACAATAATTCCCCTCTTCAAGCCCCACAGTGATATGTGAAAATGTCTCACTGACTTTGTGTTTCTCTCTTTAGATCTGATCATGTCTCACTCAGGTGCTCAGGGCAGCATTGGCAGCCACTCTGCCATTGGTCTGCACAATCACAAGGTACCTCTACTGCTTGTTTAGAATTGACTTAAAAACTAAGCCTAAAATTAAACACTGAAAACATTTTAACTTCAGAAATAAACACATTGAGCTTTTATTTGCCTTTCAGGTTTACCTCTATGAGTTTGAGAACTTCCAAGGCCGTAGGATGGATCTGCTCGCAGAGAACCGCAACCTGATGGAGAAGGGTTTCGAGAGGATCGGCTCCATCAGGGTGGAGAATGGACCGTAAGGGACCACAATGGCCATCAAAATAAGTGTTACAGCCCTGTAACTCTTTTCCCTAAGTAACATTTGTATCCATGTATCTATCCATGCAGTTGGGTGGGTTATGAGCAGCAGAACATGACTGGTGAGATGTTCATGCTGGAGAAGGGAGAGTACCCCCGCTGGAACACCTGGTCCAACAGCTACAGGTGCGACCGCTTCATGTCCATCAGGCCCGTCAGGATGGTGAGTCAGAATCAGCTTATTTTGCATCTCTTATACATTGTGTAATGGCACAAAGAAAAATATGTGTTATGGATGCAGTTATTGTATTTATAGATTTAATCCACTGCGTGTATTTTTGCTTTCCACTATCAATATGATAATGTTTAGAGTAAAAAGATTTCTGGCCTTCCAAATAAAAATTCCTTTCTAAATCAACAATACAGTAACTGTACTTTTTTGACTGCATTTGTGTTTTAAAATCTCTTTATCAGCTAAAATCTAGGACAAACAGCTGCACCAGGATCTGTAAGAAAAGTTGTCAACAGATACTGATTTAAAAGTGATGCGTGTGTCTTACAGGATCCCCAGGACCACAAGATCTGCCTGTACGAGTGCCCCAACTTCGAGGGTCGTAAGATGGAGGTGTGCGATGAGGATATTCCCAGCCTGTGGTCTTACGGCTTCCAGGATCGCGTTGCCAGCATTCAGGTCTCCGGTGGAACGTAAGTCATTTCTGAGTAAAATTTAAAACTAAAACAGCCTTTGGCCAACAAAAGTAGAGCAAACAGAAAAAACAGAATCTCTCATCTTATTGTACTGCCAGAACATTTGTAATTGAATGAATAAACCATTTATATCCTGTGGGGAGAGAAATCAATGAACAATGTTAGCTGCAAAGTATCTTGACTGTTGCCATGAGTAGCTACAAGCTTTGTAGTAAATGTTTGGATTAGATTAGATGTAGCAAAGCATTTTACAATCTGGAATCAATAAAGTATAAAAGCATGTAGTAGAAGTTGCCATTTTTCAAATTACAATTTGACCGCATGTTAGCTTTGGCAATAACCTAACCTAACCATTTTTGTAATAAAGCTCATCTGAATTGAAGTCAACAGAGCTTTTTGTGTCCTAAGTGTTTCTCTCTGCCTTCCCCCACAGCTGGGTGGGCTACCAGTACCCTGGCTACCGTGGATACCAGTATGTGTTTGAGATGGGACCTATGAAGCACTGGAATGAGTGGGGAGCCCAACAGCCCCAGATCCAGTCCATCCGCAGGGTGAGGGACATGCAGACGCACCGCAGGGGCTGCTTCGAGATGAACGCATAGACAGGAGTCCAGCAGACTGTGGGGGGATAGCAGAGGGGTCGGCATGCTGCAAACCATCCCCTTGGAAATTCTTCAACAGCCACCTAGCCCCAAAAGCTAATGGCTTTTGAATATTGTTATGTTTTTACTGGTAGGATTTGGAAGTATGTGGCATCGTGAATGATTCTGATTGTGACTGACTTCCAGAGTCTGTAACACCGGTAAAAATGGTAGCAATGCTCTCTGTCTACAGACCTCAAGATAATGAAAGGGGGTTATGGGGATTAGTTAATAGCTTTTATTAGTTAACCCTTTTATTTTATTTTTATTTACTCGCCTATGTGTTTCTAGCTGACATGATGCCAATAAGCCTGTTCGCCGAAGCGTTTTTCCTCTATCTGGGATCCACAGATTTTAGAGAGTAAAGGGATAAACGATCACATAACTCTTCACAAAGTACTACCATGGACAGCTGCAGTAGGTTCACCCAGCAGACACAGGCACTATCTCCTCATCACAAAGCAAAAGGCTCACTTCGCTGAAGAGGGCACTGGCCAGCCTGTGATTTTCCAAGAGAAAGGTGGCTGTGCAGGGTTGTGTTTTGCAGATGTGAATATCTTTTGGCCGGCCTGTTCCAGCTCATGGATGGGGCTATCCAGAAGATTCACATTTTACACTTTCTCAGGGATGCTGGCATCTGGAAAGCAACTTTCCAATGAAGAAACAATGAAATAAAGATATTATAAAGCTGAAAGACTTTGTTTCCTTGCTTTTTTATATTTTATTAACAACGTATTAAAGCAATAAGTGTGTGTTAATATGTTTAAAGGGAATTATCACCCAACTCTGCAATCTCTCTCAGCTATAAAGAGTGTGAAATGCTTATAAACTTAACACCACTCTCGTTGTTTCCGATAGCTGTAGCCTATGGTTAAAAAAATGTAGACAAAGTAAGCTGGGGTATACAGCAGCTAAAGAGGTATTACCTTCAGGAATTGGTATAAAACAGGGCCAAGGAACTCCAAAACATACAAATGTAGTTTAGTGTCTAATGATTGGGATTTATTGTGAGCATAATAACATTATATATTTATTGATGTAAAGCAATTTGGTCAACTATGTTGTTTTTAGAAGTGCTACTGTATATAAATAAAGTTGCATTGGATTATAGGAACATGAATAATGTTGAAGTTATTCTGCCCTTCAGGTGGCCAAAAAAGGATGAACATTAAATAGTTGAATAAAATAAAAAGGACTGATGATTCCTTTCCTATCGAGGGAAAAATAGTGCTACAGTATAGGGCCAAACTTGAGAAAGATGGTTTGTTTTAGGGAAGCTAAAATACAGAACCATTCACTTATCACACTAAAGAAGAGCAGACAGTGTTGTTCACAGGCCTACATGCTGATTTAGCAACCCCCTATTTTCACACAGTAGTAACAGCTCACCTCAACTAAATATAACTCCAAGATGTTATTTCTGACACCTGTGAGTGTTTGCTTCCCCGGATGTGTGAGCTCATTTTACAGAGTAATCAGTTACTCTTTCTGAGTAGAGCAGCCATGCACGCACTGCTGTATGGGCAGATGACGAGGCGCGCAGACTGTCAGCCACGCACTACTGCTCGGTTTAAAGCCACAGGATTTGGATTAAATAGCTTGTGAGAGGACCGATGAGCCTTGAGCGCGGGAGGGGAGGGAGCTAAGGGCTGATTTTTATCTTTTACCGGATCGAGAAGGGGAGGAGGCACGGAGAATGAGTTATTCTTGTAGCGGCACAGTTTGCTGTACGTGAATTATCCAAAGGCTGCGACGCAAGTAAATCTGCTCCTGCGGCGACGACGCCGAGAGCACCAGAAAGCCTCAGCTCCTCTCAGGTCGAGCACCGATCAGCCCTCTTCTGCTGGACATGAAAGTGCAGCAAGGCTGCAACGCAGACATGGGGATCCCGTTGAGAACTGAAGAAGAATTGCGCGGAAATACCGTAATATCGCCCGATGATGTGCTTGGGCTACAGAAGATCACCAAGAGTAAGTAACCTGCGAGTGTAATTGGCACGATGGAAAGAGTAGTTGAAGCCGCACAGTTAGAGGAGATTAGTGCAACCCATCTGCTGCTGCTTCCTTGTTCATTGTGTCTTTCCTTAGGCTATTTAATGTTAAATATGCTCCCTGTGTTCATGCACTCTTGTTATTGGCTTTGTCGAAGAACTATACCATGGACAGCGACAGTCTGAAAGGAGCTCACTGTGTCGTTCAGCCTTAAATAAGATGTATCCCCTATAACCGATGTGTGTTACAGGTTTTATGTCCTACCCAAGGACAGTTAGTATATCATTTATTTATTACAATTGGTTCTTTAATAAGCAGCATGTTGATTTTACTTATGTTACTACCGTTTGTGTGATTGTATGCCTTTGCACCTGTCTGAGTGTAAAGGCACGAGAGAGAAGGGGACTGTATGCACTTCCTGGTTTGCTACTTTAATCCTGCTGTAAAAAAATTAATCTGCTGCTTACTACATCCTTACCTTAGACACCTGTGGCTCTGAGGGAACAGGTGGCCAGGGATGTGATCCAGTAGTTATACATATAGCTTGACATTGACAGTAGTAAGCTTGAATAAGTATGACAAAATAACATATCAGCCTGTTGTTTAACATATTATGGAAACTGTTCCAGATTATCATGGCAACAGGACACGCTAGGCTGTTTAATGATATGAGAAGGCCTGGTTTCAAGCGCCATTATAAGCAGAGTGAGGTGATAGGAGAGAAGTTTCACAAACTTTAAACTTGTATTTCATGATACTGCACTACTGCTTTATTTATGTTTCTATTGTTTACCAAGGTGTTGCTGTTTTGATTGAGGCTGACAGTGAGACTGACCAAACCTATTGAAATGTGAAAGAAGCACAGGTTTAGGTTCAGTTTGCACAGGTGGCTTAAAAGAAACTACAGATTCCAGAGGCCTACAGTTTGAAGAAAGAAATGTGACTAGTGGAGTCCAGAAGTCTAATGAGGAGCATGTACGTTCTTTCTCAGCCTTAATATTGGTTCGACAAATAAACAAAAAAACTCAACCCAAGGACAAACCATTTTTGGGGCTTTGTCAGTGAATGTGAGCTAACACTTGAACAGGATTTCTATGCATTTGGCACAAATATACACTTAGAATTAGGATGCATTTATTGAAATTCAGGGGTCAAAGGTTAAGTCAGTGTGACCTTACACATTTTTTTGACCATAACTCAAGAATTCATACGTTTAATGTTTGATAGGACAAAATGATGCTGTGAGGACATTTTGGATCGATACAAATGTAAACGGCAACTTGGAAACCTGCATTACGTCTGACTACGAAAAGGAAACAAATATTAGTTGATAATAAATTCTTGTTTTCTAAAAAGGAACATTTTCATTGATTCATTTGCTTAGTCCAAACCAATCCCCCTGAAAAAACACAAAATGTCACACCAACTCTCTTACCCTCTCCTATGTTTTCATTTGGTGGACCCTTAGTGGAAAAGCAGCACTAGGGCTCCGTCAGTGCAATTATACGTAAATCACTCATGGTGGTGCAGTAATCTCCACTCCCCACTTCATCCAAGTAATCTGGATTATGTTAGGAGTGCTTTAACACAGCCTGACGTGATGTACCCCAGGTAATTAATGAACCTGGAGCTGAAGCGCAATCGAGTTTGTTTACATTGTGGATATTTGATTACACATTTAGTTTTAATGTTCCCATACCATTAATTTACAGGCTTACCACGGCTGCAAACTCTAATAGAAATATATGATATGTGTTAGTTGCTGAACCACAACTAATGCTTGGTTTATACAAATGAACCGATGCTTCCTTGTTTCCTGTTTAGTGATGAGAGCACAGAAATGTCTCCCCAAGGCCCAATCATTTTAAACGACAGACCATACCACAGAGAGAAGCATTGTGTGCCGCACAATTCAATCATTTTCTGCTGCAAGAGAAAAATAAATGTGCAGTTGTGAAAGAGGGAATCAGAAAACGCCTGACCCTGCCAACAAAATGCCTTTTTCAGTAGTGCTTTTGGGAGGTAAATGCCACCATTTTGGGGCAGCCCAGCTCCAGTCTGTCACGCTGGTTCAGAGCTGATAAGCGAGGCACAGCGCCTCATTGTCACACAGGCGGAGAGAAGAAATATAATCGAGGCGGCAGAGAAGCGCTGCAGTGATATGAAAAATGGCACATTATCAGTTTACTGTTTACATGAGGGATGATTTATGATGATATGAAGGCCGGCAGACAAAAATAGAAATACTGCCGTTACAAAATAAATGTTACACAAATAATTGTTATGGGTTAACCATTAAACAGCCAAACAGTTAAAAGACACAGGGGTCTGTTTGTGGGAACGTGTGTTTTTTTTTTTTTAAAGTAACCTATCAGATATTGAAATCCGATCCAGGAAGTCCCGTTTGAATAACAGATTAATGTGTTTAAAAGTTCAAGACAGGTTTACAATACTCAGGCAGGATTGTAAAACTCTGGAAATAGATACAGAATACAACAACATTAGGAGCCCTGATCAGTGAAGTTGCCCCCTTTACTTACATTGTGACATGAGGGATAACTTATTTATATTATGAACAGGAGGAATAATTACAACAGGCTTGTTTTCTTTTTCAAAAGACTTGAATAATTGCAAACCTATCCTTTAATGCAGGAAAAAAGCAAAAGACTGCAGATGAAAAGGTTGAGCTGTCATGGCATTTGTGTTTAAATCTGTTCAGACTGACCTAATGTGACTGGGTGCAATTCCTGATGTCTAAAGATAATGGTTCACAATGTCAAAGGCATTTATTGTGTTGATCTCAGTTGCAAACATGTAGAGAATAATTGAAAAAAGCTTGAGAGAAGTTTGAATGCTGCCAATTCCTAGGTTAAAGTTTGACAATTGTTAAAAAAGTGTTTTGGTGTCTTGCTAGAGCCCATTACAATTTATTAACCATAATAATGTGTGAATATCAAATTAGAAAAAAACATTAGATGATCTATTGTACTGTGGGCATTTTTTACAAAAAATAATTGTGTTTTATTATGCCTCATCCAAATAATTTACTCCTTTTACACAAATGGGTAATCAATTGTTTGGCCTTAATAAGTCTGGGACACAGAGCAGTGCTTTATCTGCGTCAGGCGGGATTTCCCCTCTGTGATGTCTGCCAACACAATGGATACGGCTTTAATTAAAATTGATTGGTGCAGCCGGTTCTTAATCTCGCATGCACAGCTGTCACAAGGTTACTCTTTCATAATGATTTGACATGGAGAGTCGGCTCGTTTCATCCACATCAGTAATCAACGCGATCCCACAAACTGTGTTTAATTCTTGCTTTCTTCTAGTCTTTGAATCAGGCGCTTGTTGCCAGAGTCAGGAACATTTGAACTCTACATTAGCAGTGTCATCATGTTTAGTTGTATAATGTAAGGTTGTACTTTCCCATAGTGTTGAATACACTTATTGATCAATACCAAAAACTCACCGATTACTGGCTGGTGCTCATATTTGTGCCTGAAGCTCTTTGCTCACACACGCAACTGATGCCCATGTGTATAACTTATGATGAACATACCAACAATGTGTTATTATCTACTCCTATTGCAAAAATATGATAGTTCTAAGTACTAAATATTCAATAGGCCATATAACTTATCGTTATCCGATCTTTTAATAATACTTATAAGAGTACCATAATACTTCATAATTGTCACACTAACATTTTCTGTGCAGTGATCATAGTGTATTATAATTCCAACAGTTGAAAGAAATTATTATTAATGCTTCTTAATCCCGGTTATATTGTTATAAATTAAAGGTGGGGTAGGTAAGTTTGAGAAACCGGCTCGAGATACACTTTTTGTTATATTCCATGGAATGCTCTTAACATCCTGATAGCAATGAATATCTTAAGTGCTTTGACAAAAAATCCATACAAATATTTCATCTGTGGAAGCCGTAGTACTGTAAAAAGCACGACCAATCATTTTAGCCGGCCGGCTAAAATAACTGGATGGCCTACCTGCCTGTCAGCCTTCCATCTGTGCACAAACTTATCTCGTGCCCTCATTGGTCATGTGCGCGTTCGTGTGTGTTGGAGGAGGGGCTCTGTAAGGAAGTGGCAGATTTTTTCCGGCTGTGTATTTTCAAATTCTAGCGCACTCGAGCTGGTTTCTCCAAAATTACCTACCCCACCTTTAAGTGAAGTAATACAAAAGTAAGATGTAATGCATAACAAGCAAGTTATAGGTCAAAATATCAATTAAATGCTTTAAATAGTAGTTGTAAAGCATTCTGAATACTTACCAGTGCTTAAAACGGATATACTTAAAACCAGTTAAGCCCCAAGCCTGTTTTTCAGGCCTCAGGCTCGAAAATGACATTCCCAGAACAAATTACTATAACTTCACTTCTAAAAAGGGGTAAATTAATAATCTTTTTTCTCAAAGCAATGATAAACCTGTGAGTTGGATGTAGAAAACTCAGAATGAATATTGAATTTTTTTTATTTTAAAATAAATTCAGATTGAACATAGTAAAAAAATGTAAATTATAGTGTCCGTCCAAAAAAAAAACATTACTTATAGTGAAAACTACCATTGAATGATGGAATAGTAGACTAAAAGCTTTAGGAATCCAAACTATAACATATAATAATGACCCTGTATCAAGATTGATGCAAAACAAGTGACATTTGACCTTTTTAGAGAGATTTAGCAACAAAAAAACACTTCTGGGGTCATTTGGGTGGATTTTCAATATCTCTGGCCCCCCTCGGTCGATTTTGATGATTGACATCTCTTTTTAACAATTAGAGCCAATAGAATCGAGGGGAAGTTCCTGAAATCCATCGAAACATTAGCCATTGGTGAATGAGTGATGCGTAGCCAGAATTCCCAAAACAGGAAGCTGTCATACACTCTAGTAGCTATCATAGCAGCTCTATATGAAAACTCCGTTATTGACATAAATATGAGGATGGATTATCAGTA